GGTCATTTCTGAACAGGTGAGGAAAGCGTACCTGAGCGTAGGTGTTTTGTTTTTTCAGGATGCTAAGTTTGTAGAGGAACGAAGAAAGCAGCTCCAAAATTACCTGCGCAGTGTCATGAACAAGGTCATCCAGATGGTCCCCGAGTTTGCTGCCAGCCCCAAGAAGGAGACTCTCGTCCAGCTGCTGCCCTTCTTTGTGTGAGTACCACTTGGTGGCCATGCTCCACCAGGCCTGCCCACCACTTTGTTTCTTTGGAGGTTTGGGGTGCAAGTGGCTCTCTGGTTCTCACAGTGCTCTGGACACTGGGGGCCCCGGGTGTGCTCCAGGCACTGTTAGAGGTGCTAAAATGCAGGCTTAGTCTCAGCACTTGGGAGTTTCTAAAGGGTTTACAAGAGAGGTCTGCAAGTGAGCATTGATGATTTGAGGTTCACAAATAATTTGAGGGCTCTGTTCTTTTATGCTTTCATAAGAAGATTCGAAAGGGTTGAAATACACTGTCTAGACCAATGGTTAGCCATTGGTCAAATGGCTAGTGTAAATCAAAATATTTATTTTCTGTACAGCTCACAAGTGCTCCAAAACTAAAATGTTCTGTGTCAGTGTTTGTCAAGATTGGGTAATGAACCCAAGGAAAAATTCTCACAGGCTCCTGCCAGTATTGGCTTAAATTATTTTGGTATTACTATTACTTAAATATGAACAAACTTAAAACTAGGACTAAATTCCTTATCTTTCTGTCTCTTCTAAAAACAAATAAGTATTTAAAGAATTTATGCGTTGTGCACGTAGAAAATCTTTACAATTCAAAATTGTCAGTTAACATAATGGATGCTTTTTCTGAAACCAAAGCTTTGCTCACAGTGGTGGATGTCTCTTCTTTTGCGCTTGCTGTGCTGGCATCTGCATGCTGGCTCCACCTACCCACTGGCTCCACCCACCCTGCTTTTTTCTGGTCCTATTGCTAAGAAACTTCCCTTTGTGCAGCACCTTGAGGCTGGTCACGGCCACTTTGATGTCACTGCCTCATTACTGGTTAGTCCACCCTGTTCTAGTAAGTTCTTAGCCTGAGACATTTACATCTTTGGAATTCGGGAAAACAAAATGACAGAGTATTTCCTGGTTTTTATAGTCTGCAGATGATACATAATGTAATTGTTCTGTTTCTAAAATACTGTCATCATAATGGAGACACAAAGTATGAGAATCCATAGTTGAAACCCATGGAATTTTTTAAGAATAGGTTGGGATTCCTTGTTTGAGTAGCACTGGTCTGGGTCTGTGTGTTTTAATGGGATGAAAATATAATGTGTCCTGTCACTGTAGCTCTTTAAAATGGCACAAGGAAGGTTGGGAGGGATGTGATTTATTCCAGTGGTGATGTGGTAACTCAAAGCCAGAGGCTTATTTCTGCCTCTCGCTGTGGGGTGCCCTCAGCATTGCCAAGTTGAACTTCCCAACCAGGCAGGCCTCTGCTGCTGCCTCATTCCCTGTTAGGTCCTTTGAAATTGTTACCACGATGGCTGCTCAGGTTTTACTATTGTTTCAGGGCTTTCCTGAGAAGAGATTGTTCTGTTGTGCTGCCTGGGAGAAAAGATGCCTCTTTTCCTTGTATAGGAGACACTCTCTGGAAGTCTTTTTCCTTGTACCTAATTATTTGTAAGGCCAGGGCCTTGATCTTAATGTTTTAAAACAGCCACAATAGTTCACGAGAGGAGTTCTTGATCTTTTGTGAGTACCCCTGGCCACTCAGTGAGCTGTGTGCAGGAAGCTGGATCCTCTGATGGAGGCTGAGTGAGCTCTGGGTCCCAGACATTGACAGTCTGAGGAGGAGGCGCTGCCGCATACACACAGGCTGGCATCCCTCTTGCCTGGCTCTGGGAACCCAGCGTCTCCGGCCGGTAGGGTCCGTCAGCCAGACAGCATGTCGTGAGGTCTCAGCTGCACTGGTTACAGTCATCAACACACAGAGAGAAACCTTTTTGTGCTTAATTAGCCCAGAGAATATAAGGTTCAATTTATGGGCTTTAAAAAACAAAAAGAATTTCCATTGGAGATTGTGGCAAATGGCACAATATCAACACTGGAATTATGGCTAAACATTAGTCTAGACCAGTGTTTTTCAATCTTCTTTATCTCACGGTACACTTGAACCTATAGTTAAACTGTGGTACCCCAAAATTATGTTGGTCCAAAAAACAAGAGTAAAAATAAGAATATATTTACTGTACTTTGAACTTCTTTCAAAAATACTTTAATTAGTGATCTTTAAAAATTTTCATGGTGTACCTGAGATCCTCTCATGGCATACCAGTTGAAAATTCTTGCTCTAGACCCAGTTGAAATGCCTCTTATTTCCTTTATTGGGCAAGACTAGATTATAGGTTAGAATTTGCAGATGGTGTGGTAATGGATGATGAACTGTCCACATTTTGCCCGTGCTGGACCTCCATGTGGTCACGTCTTGCCTGTATGTGCCCACAGAAAACAGCGGTACTGGACTCTCCGCTAGAAAGCTTAGCCTGAGATATTTCTGGTTAAAAACATTTTGAGAATCTCTTGGCTCAGGAAATATCCCCCCCCAAGTATAATTTATTTATTCTTATAAATCTTGACATACAGTTCTTTCCATGCTGATTCAGGATTCTAAAGATCCATTTCAATTGCTGAACGTAAGTGGACTTGTTCTCTGAAGAGTGTCCCCGTGTGCTGAGCACTTTCCGTGGGTGCTGGCCTAAGGTTCACCTGCTTTATCTCATCTAATTTTCTTTGGTGGGCCCAGAGCTTCATTTTATTAGGCAGAATCTTACAAAGTTGCTATTAAAATGACAATTTTGCATGGTTTCATAATACTTTGTAATCATAATTTAACCATAGAAATATAATATTTTATCATACTGATGAGGAAATTGAGGCTTCAAGAGGTTATCTGACTATTTCCAGGGTCACTCACCCAGCACACAGGGAGCCTGGCTGCTTGGTGCCATAGCCCGTGCTGTGGGGCACAGGTGACAAACCCACAGGCTGTGTGTTGAGTCTGGGCCCTGACTTGTTTTATTTGGCCAGTATGGTGGAGTTTTGTTATTTGTTTTCCTTGATTGAAGTACTTGCCTGTGTCAAAATATCAGAAGATGTCAGAGAAAAAGTCCAAATGCCAAGCTTCTTTTGAAAAATCAGAAGAATCAGTCACACTCTAGTGCACTTGAGCATTCCTGTGTCCACTGGACCCCCATCCCAGACACGGAGCTAACTTCCCCTGCCGGGAGTCACTGCTCCTTGGCTGGTGGGCCAGGTGCTCAGGCTGCCTGCCTAGGGACTCAGCAGACACTGGAGTTCCCAGTCTTGCTCACATGGCCCCTGCATTTCGGCTGTGGATTTGAGGATGCTCCATGTTACCCAGTAAGCATTTGTTGGCGTGTTGTGCTCATGTCCGCCTGTCCTCAAAGCTAGTCTGCTGATAAAGTTCAGTAATGGTGGCCCCGTTCTGATTTGAGGGCTGGGAAGTAGGCGGGAAAGATAAAAGCTAATGGGAGAACTTGCTTCTGTTTTTCCTTGTGAATATTCCTTAAAACTTTTGGGCCTGTGCACCTGAAGTCCAGCATTAGATACACTTTTCCACCCCGTGTGTCTTTGTTTCACTGTGTTCTGTGAAGGGCATATGACTTCTAAGTAATCTGCCCACTGCACAAATCCAAGATTTGAGGAATCAGCAGGTTGAATTTTTTTTTCCAATCTCTCTGTGCCCCGTTGCCTTCTTTGCTAATGGCAGCAGCAGCTCTGAATTAGAAAGTAGGCCAGTGGGAAGTGGGGTGTTTCTCTTCTATTTTGAACCCTACGTATCAGTGTGGCCCAGGTGGAGACCAGAGTCTTCCCCCTTAAAACGGGGAGCAGATGAACACCAGCCCCCAGCACCCTCTCCCGAGAGCCTTATGCTGCTTGTATCCTCTGTCACTTGGTGCAGAGGTCGTCACTGAGAGACGTGACATGGTGCAGGTGACAGCAGATGGGGACAGAAACATCAGGAGGCCTGGACTCGAGAAATTCACTCTGTGAAACTGGAGCCACAAACTGGTGACAGATTCCGTGATTGGTTGTGCTGTCATTTAGGATGTTATTAAAATGTTTTTCTGCAGAGAAATTTGTTCTTGGGAAATACATTCTATTCTGTTGCTCCTTGAGGGGTGGGAGCAAGTTAGGGGCATGGAAGGCAGCAGAGTGATAGAGGTCACAGCACAAATTCCCAACTTGATTTTCAGCAGAAAACATGGTTGTGTTTCCCACCAGCCCCCATTTGCTGCTGCATTTACTCTTCAAGTTGTTAAACGTATCTCTTTCTTTTTTCCTGGCCACGGTGTGAACTGCCATGTTCTCCCAGTGAGCAGGTGAAGTTTAGCTCAGGGATGAAATGCCCGACCCACACGCTGCCAGGGAACCCTGACTGTGAGCCGGGACGTCTCACTGTGTAGGCCGCTCTGGCAGGAAGCACACAGTTCCTCCCTCGGGACTTTGACCACCCTGCTTTTGTGGACTGGCCAGAACCTTCCAGGCTCCAGAGTCTACAGCACTGCCAGTCGCCAGAAAGACATGCAGGTGCTATTCAAGATGTCTCCAGGCTCGGTGCCTGTGGCTCAAGTGGCTAAGGCTCCAGCCACATACACCTAAGGTGGCAGGTTCGAATCCAGCCCAGGCCTGCCAAAACAACAATGACGGCTGCAACCAAAAAATAGCCAGGCATTGTGGCGGGTGCCTGTGGTCCCAGATACTTGGGAGGCGGAGGCAGGAGACTCGCTTGAGCCCAGGAGTTGGAGGTTACTGTGAGCTGTGATGCCACGGCACTCTACCCAGGGGGACAGCTTGAGGCTCCGTCTCAAAAAAAAAAATGATGTCTCCAAAGTGCAGGCAGATACTGGCTGGGTGTGAACAGTGTTTTGAAATAAAATGTCCACGTGAGTGCCTTTCGGTGGAGTGTGCCCCAGGTGGACACCTTTCCAGCTGCTCCTCCTCCTGTTTTTCTTTGGCCTGCTTCGCTGATTTTGAGGCCCCTGGCAGCCAAATGGAAAGTATGGAGATTCTGGAGTCAGCAATGGTCTCCGGCTCTGCCACTAGAGGAGCGACTTTGGGCTTGGTTTCAGCCTCTCTGAGTCCTAGTGTTCGTGTGAAATGGGAAGACAGGTACTAACCCTAACAAGGTACTGCAGTA